CTGGATATTCGCAAGGTGGAGATTTTCTCCTAAAGGGCGGGATATTCGCAAGGTGGAGATTTTTCTCCTAAGGGATTGAATATTCGCAAGGTGGAGATTTTCTTCTAAATGGTTGGATATTCGCCAATGTGGAGAATTATTAGGTAAGACTCATAATACCAGAATTTGGAGTCTCTTGGAATGAAGAGAAGTCTCTTGGAATTAAATAGGTGTGTCTCTTGGAATTTAATGGGTTGACATCAGCGTGGGCGCAGCAGAAGCATGGTGGCCCAACCCACATTGGTGCAGATGTAACTCTCAGGTATCTTTTCTCCTAAGGGGCTGGGTATTCGCCAAGGTGGAGATTTGTTATGGTATGACTCATATACCATATAGGGACAGACGCTGGAACGAAGCGGAGCGAAAGAATCTGTCCAAATTGGGAAGTTACGTTATATGGGTTGGGGCTATACAGTACAGGGGTAATTTGGGAATTACATATTGTACTGCAGGGCTTACTCTAGGATTATAAATAGACCTGTTTGTAATCCTAGGTCTTTGAGAGAGCTGGATCGCTGAATTCTATAACCTCTTTTCTGAATATTGAAAGGAATCGCCGCTCTGCTCCCGATGACGTAGGCATCTTTGCCGAACCTCGTTAAATTTCTGTGTTTATCTGGATTTGTGTCGATTACTGTTTTTCTTTGCCCTAATTTTCTCAACAAATATGCTCCGAGCACTCATGATAAACATTATTGACAACAATTTTAATGCACTTCACACTAGTATTGTTCATATGGAGAGGACTGGGCATACTCTAGAAAAGTTGAAGTTCATGAAGTCGATTAATTTTAGAGTATATGATAGAAACTGTGCGGTATTTAGACTTAATTGATGATTTAGACATATAAAGTGTCTTCTTACTCTTCCATAAAATCAAAGATTCACTAATATATACTATCTCGTCCCTGTCTGTCGGTTATTAGGGTACTTGGCCCAATCAGCATCCTTGTATGCCACAAGATGAAGAGAAGAATCGGTCTGAAAGAACAATTCATTTCTAGGCGTCCCACTAAGATGTTGTTGCTTTGATGAATGACAAGTAAGAGTAAATGATGAGAGTTTGCATAAATTAACTATTTTGTTGAACAATGAAATAACTAGTTGAGCAATTGTCAAATAATTCAAGTCGGATCGAAGGAATTTGATACTTTGTATTTACTTCTAAGGGAGTGTTTGTTGGAGAAGTATTTTGGAGGTCTATCAATATAATCAGAACTTGTGTGTATATATTTTGATTTTGGATTATATTAGAGGGATTAGTTTGAAATTTCAACTGTAAGAAGAGCATTAAGATTCTTTACATGAAATATGGCTTGAAGATGTTGCAGACAGGTGATCAGTGTCAAATTTGTCCCAGTAATAATAATAATAATGTCATGAACAACTAGATGTCTTGCAAAGAAATAACGATGACATATAATGGCTTTATATAAAAGATAAATATAGTAAAGTTGACCAAAATTTATGAAATCATGCCTAAGGAGCCTAATTAAATTCATATTGAGATCGATTTAGTTTACATACATATGAAGAAGAGGAAAAGTCAGGTGGAAAATCCATATAAATTTGCTCATTAAGATCATGTAGAAATTCATTTTTAACGTTTTTTTCGGTGAAATGGCCATCCTTTTCAAGCAACATCAAATACAGTCATTCATATTGTGGCTATTTTAGCCACAACAGTAGAAATTTCTTAATAATTGACTTCATATTTTTTTTTACCTCTAAGGATGACCAAAACATGCATTTTATTAATTTTGAGTATCATCACATCAAATCTTGATCGATTAGATATGTTTGAAACCATTTGTGTATGATTGTCCTTGGATAACCAAAACAGCCAGGAATGGGTTTATAAGCTAACATAATGTGAAATCTGTATTAATTTGAAGGATGAGCGATTATTGAAGACTGCATAGGAGTCATGATTGAATTTTAGCTTGCAGGCTTAGGTGGTAGATGAATTTTCATATGCTTAGATTATGGGTTTTGCTTATTAAATGGTAAATTTAGACATTTTCTTTAATACTCAAATTCAGGTCTAATTTGTTCAAGACTAGTATTTAATTAATTAAAACTTGGTGGAACATAATTCTGGTCGGTGGGCTCTAAAACTTTGAAAGCCCCAACCTCCCTTGAAAAATAAAGAAAGATGAAAACGAGAATGAGGATAAGGGAGTATAGCTTGAGGTTCCGAGTTAAATTTTCAGAAGACAAATGAGATAGTAGATAAGACACTACCAACATATTTCACCATCATTTGTCGAGGACTTTAAGATTTGGGGTTTGAGGTTTCTCATAGGCACAAACCTCTATGGTTAGTTGCCCCTCTTGACAATGAGAGCAATTTTGATCAAGGCTATTCGTTAAACACTAAGTGTTCAATCAGTATATAGTAGCAACAAATTTAAATTTAAAATTTATAAATTTGCCACCTTAAGCTTAAGAGTGGATGGTGGGGAAATGATGACGCACTCAATCAAGATCCCATGGTTTTGTCGTCTGGGGTCATT